GGGGTGTCAGGTATTTGGGTGGCTGAAATGAAGTTGGGAATAGTCTGATGAGAGTTGGGCGTGTCCTCAAGGAAAAGGGGTGAATTTCACAGACTGGGTCTGAAATGCTTTGTAATGAATCCATGTGGATTTAGTAAAAAGAAACTAGAAATGAAATAATAAAAAAGTCTTAAGGTTTACATCTCAGTCTAGCAATAGAAAACAGGAAATCGAGTACTATGGCCTGGAAAGGCCTACTGGAAGCAACAGGGAATGGAATGGCAGGAAATCAGGGAACTTTTGGCTCCGTGACTGTAATTTCCTATGCAAGCAGTTGGAAATAGGTCTAAGGGGCTAAAAATAAATTCAAGGAGCAAAACAAGGTTCCCATGCCACACTGGAAATGAACAACTGAGATGCAGAATTGAGCTTTTTTTTTTTTTTTTTTTTTAATGTTATTTTAAGATATGTGATTTTTACATATTTCTTCTATTGTGTTTTTTGCTTTGAAGCCAAGGGAGAGTTACCCTGCTCAAGCAATACAAGCATTTACTGTCTTGAGGGGAACAAAAGTACCAGCTGTAGTCAGTATCTCTGTCCAGGTGGGATGCTGGACCAAAGAAGAGGTCAGACTAATTCCAGGAGCTGTGTTTTGGTACAGTGCACAGATAATTTGTTTCTGGAAATAATCAACCTGATCACCCATACACATTTAGCGTGAGAAGTGGCAACACCTAACTCAATCATCTGTCTAGAGCCCAGATATGTGCTAGGTGGAGAGGGAAAGAAGACATTCTGTCTAGCTTGTGAGATAATTGTCAGAAATGTGTTCTTGCTGTGTGAAGATGCCTTTTAGGAATCCAGTTATTGAAGGATCAGTCTGTAAATCAGTCATTTTATTGAGATAAGAGAAAGGAAGCATCAGGTGCCTGCAAAGTGCTGAATTTTTTTCTGGATTGAGTTTTGCCTATCAGAAGAAAACAGCCATTAAATGTGATCCTCATCATCCTCAGTAGTTCAGTTCTGCACTTAATGGGAAACAGTGGTTAACATCTGGTTAACAGAGAAAAGTTGAACCTAGCATGATCTTGGTGGATATCACACCGGGCATCTTCAGGAAAAGGCTGGGAAGCAGACCTGTAATTTTGCATCTTATTTGTTGACTGGAGGTAGTGACTGGAAATGTGTATTACTCTAGAATCTAAAAAGCAGTTATTATCTTTCTGGTCACCAAACTGATTGCCAGCTCCTGATGAGCAGAGTAAATGGAGAATAAACCTTGCACGTTAAGAAATGCATTACAAAATCTTATCGGAGAAGTGGCCTGGTGAATGCAACTAAATCAGGTTGTTTGAAAGGAAATTTTATTCATTTTTGGAAGGAAATGATACATTGGATGCTCTAGCAAATTAAGTCTGATTCTTCACACTTCATTTCAAAAGCCAGTATTAGGGAAGGGGGGAGTCTCACAAATGTAGGAAAGACTGTTTTCCTTACACGACAAGGTCAGCAGTAAGTTGAAGTAGCAACCTTCACAGTGTGCAAGCTGTGTTGGAAGGCTACTGGAACATGTTGCTCCTTCCACTAACCTATTATCCGGGAGAGATTCTGGTATATGCTGCAAGTGATCTGAAGTAATCTGAAAAATACTAATGCAAGGAGATATGGCTTATATCTAAAAGACCTTGCATACTCCTGCAGGTGAGATATGGGGAGAGAACAGGGGCAAATTATTTTCTTTGATAAGAAGGAAACAATGCTAAACTGGTTTCTTGTAGAGCTTGGAAGGCATGCAGAGTTTTTGCAGAATTTTTCTCTTCTTTAAATTCTTTTGTGGGTATGTCAGTATTGCAAAACTATTTCATAAGTTGGGAAAGAAAAAGAGAACATCTTAGTGTTGAGAGAGTGTTTTGAACATTTTCAGGTTTTTTTTTGTTTTTTTGTTTTTTTTTAAGCTGTTGTAACTGCCACTGTATCAGTACATTAATATTTCAAAACCTCTTTCATATCAGATATGGATGCCAGTGTTTACCTAAGAATTCAAACATCGTGAGTTGGAGGTGACTTATTGCAGTGAAAGACTGAAGTTTTGCATCTACTGGGTGGGAACTGATAATGGTTTATCTGTTAAAATTAACTTTCAGGTATATAAAAGCTGACCATGATAGCTTATATATCTGTTGTTTAATCATGGCTAGCATAGTCTTGAATTAAGCTTTGTTTTGGTGATCTACTAGGATTTTTATTTTTTTCTTGGAGTGTCTCTCTACTACTTCTGAAGACATTGTATAATTTGGATCAAATTGTACCCTGGAGTAGAAGCATTAAAGCTGCCCAGTTTCTGTGTGTTTTGTGAAACAGCATCTGGAACAAAGAGCTCTTGTTAATATCCTATGGAGGACTTTGTGGAACTTGATTTTTACCTCTTCATATGTCAGTGGTGAGGTCTCCAAACTTCACATCTGTAGTTGAGTCTTATTTGCAGTTAGGACTTTTGTCCATCTCAAATAGGTAGGGAAGGGCTAAGTAAAGGAAGGTTCATGGCTGTGGAAGGAGGTGAGGAAGGCATTCAGTGTCTAGTGTGCAAATTCATAGGAGATCTGTCTTATTAATTTTGTAGCTCATGGGAAAACTATTCTGGCTTGAGATCTTTGGTGAGTGGGAATACCACAGTGTTTTGGCTTTGTAACAGATGCCAAGTGTTGATACTGATACCCTTCCTGACAAATAAGGTGATAAAGCAAGAATTGGTCACTCAAAATATAAGTCCACAAAGAGGTTTTTCCCTTAATTACAGAAGAATATAGTGTTGAGATTTTATCTGCAAGATAATGTGGAAATGGGAAGCTGTGGTGTTTTTTTTTGGTGGTTTTTTTTTTTTTTTTTTTTTTTTTTTTTTTTTTTTTTTTTTTTTTTTGTGGATCAACAAGACATGGCTGGAATAGCTAGTGCTACAATTATTCCAGAAGTGTTTTACAGGATCCTGATCAACATAGCCAGCACCTCCAGAGTTCAGAATTGTTCAGAAGTACAGAAGCCAAACTTGAATTATTTAGATTTGGAAGTTTGTTTTCTCAAAGTAAATAGTTGCCAGTCAAGTTAACCAAAAATTGTTAACTCAGGATAAAGTGGAATTCCACTTGGAATGTAGTACTTGTGCTTCTGCTGGTGAACAGAATTCCAATTGGAATGTAGTACAACCTAACCCCTCCCCGTAACTAATCCTGGTATTTTCTAACTTTGTCCTCCGTATGTAATGAAAGTCACTGAAGTCACATGCCTCAAAGTCAAGCTTTTGCAAGATCACGGCCTTCACTGTGCATTGAACATGCTCTTCCTGCCCAGTGTGTTTTCAGTGAGGAGGTTCTCTGTAGAAGCCATTATTAACTTGGTTAAAACCACTCCCTCCTTTCATTTACTGCTTTGGTGAAATCTTATTCTGTTCATTATTTTTGAGCACTATCTTGAGTCAAAGTCCAAAAAAATTACCAGAAGAGTAAGTAAATTCTATAAAGCAAAAGTGTTATTGAAGGTTGTCAAGATACAACATTGTGTTCAGAACTGATAAATGTAGAGAACAAAGCACTTAATTTATAGCAGAGTTATCAAGTCTTTCAGAGGTAAATTCACTGCTATGGTAAAATAAAATGTTGTAATTGTAGCTGTTAGATAACATCACTAATCCTCAAATCTCATTTAGCAGGATGATGGAACCATGAAATGATTTGTGGTATGCCACATTGGCAAATGACACCCTAATGTTGACTGAAACCCACTGCTCATGATAGTCACTGATGGGTCAGCCATGCATTTAAATGCTTATTTTATTTCAGTAGCACATATATTGTTCAAACTGTTGCCAACTCTAATGACTTTATAATGTCTCAAATAGTTAAGTATTCCTTATCTTAGGAGAAAGGGGAAAAAAAAAAAAAGAGCAGAGGGCCACTAGAAACCATGTGTTAAATAAAGTAACATAGTTCTATTGAAAAATCCAATAATTTGTTGTTTTATGTATTTGATGACTGTAAACCAGCATCGGGATTTTAGGAAAACCTTCAGTCTTTTCCAGCATTATGAGTTCAGCCCTTAGCAGCAGCGCTCACATGGCACACAGCACATAGCGCTGACTGCTTGTTGGCCGCACTGTGACCTGACAAGCACGGCCTGTGGACTCCGTTTCTCGCTTTGCTCCAGGACCAGCGTGGATCCACGTGTTCCAAGGAGCGCAGTTCCGAGGCCGGGACCACACCGCGCAGCACCACGCCGGATGCTGGTGGCTCGCCGTGCGTGTCCTCGTGCTGCCAGGAACACGGGCAGTACTGAGTGGCTGCGGGCAGGGCCGGGCGAGGGGTTGCAGCACTCCGAGCACGGGTGTGGAAATAACTGTGAGGCACTCGCTGATCACCGACTGTTGCTCAACTGGAGCTTGGTTAAAAGCTTTGGAGCTGCGGCCTCCACCAACGTGGTCCTGGCCTGGATTTTATTTCTGCGTCCTCTGCGGGATTCCTCTCAAACAGCTTTCCAGTTTCTCGGTATAATACAGTCGCCAGCACCCGACTCATCACATAACTTTATACTGCGCTTTTAAACAGCCGAAGAGCACCGCCCCGCCCCAGTTACTGCCGCTGGCTTCCCGCTCTCCGCCCCCTCTTCCCCGCCTGGCGCCCCCTGCCAGAAGCCCCGGCGGGCCGCGCCCCCACGTTTTCCAGACAGCCGCGGCCTCCACCCGCCGCGCCCCGGGAGGTGCGCCGGGCAGAGCCGCCGTGACGTCACGGCGCGGTTGCCATAGCGACGCCTGGGGTCGCACCTGACGGCTGTCGCGAAGCAGCGGGAGGAGAACGAGGGAAGGAGGAAGGGGGTAGTCGGGCCCGGGCCACCCCCGGGCCTGCGGGGAGTTGCCTCTGCGCCCCCCCGCCCGCCGCGCTCCGCCCCGCCGCAGCCGGAGGCGGCAGCAGCAGGAGGAGGAGGCGGCGCCGCCGCCGGCTATGTAGGGCCCCGGTGCGGGCGGATCCGGAGGCCGCTGCCCGCCTCTGGAGCGCGGCGCCGGGGCCGGGCCCGGCGGGATGTTCTCCAAGAAGCCGCACGGGGATGTGCGGAAATCCACGCAGAAGGTGCTGGACACCCGCAAGGACCCGCTCACCCGCCTCAAGCATCTGCGCGTCCTCATCGGTGAGGCGGCCGGCGGGGAGGGGGAGCGGGAGCGAGCGGGCGGGCGGGGCAGCGCGGGGCTCGGGCCCCCGGTGCCGGCGGAGGAAGAACCGAACCGAGGCGCGGCGGGGAGGCGGTGTGGGCCCGTGCTGCGCCGGGAGACCCGGCCCTGCCTCGGCTCTCTTCGGGGCTCCGTGCGCCGCGCCGCACCGCGGACCCGCAGCTCCTCCGCGTCTGAGGGAGGGACTCGTGTGGCGGGGAGAAACTGCTGGGCTTCTTAAGCGTGATGCTCTGCAGTGCCGCATTAACTTGTGGTCGGTGTGTTTGTGTGGAAGTGGCAGCCAGGAACGTCTGTGAGTTCCTGAGCCATTTTCCTTGTTGCTCATCTTCGTGTGTGTTCCCGAGGTGAGAGCTGCAGCGGTAAGTGCTGCCCAGCCGTGCCTGTAGACAGGCGTTAATATAGCATTTAGACGTTTTTGGTTTGCAGAGTGATCATATAAGCACCAGGGTGCTGTTCAGGCAGCTGGTTCACCTGACCGGTGCATTCTGCAACGTGGTTATATGCAATGGTTGCCTAATGGAAGAACCGGAGTTCCTTTCTGAAACATCTGCCAGATGACTGTGTAGAAATCTGAGTCCTTGATAACAGAAGTTTGCTCTCCAACATGTTTTGGGTCTTCAGCAAGCTTATGGATTGTTTCTGGTAGGTAATAAATATATGAGCAGAGCTTGAGCAAGGGCAGCACATTCCATATTTAGAGCTGACTACTGAATAGATTGTTTGGGGTTTAGCCTATAGTCAGGGGGTATTTTAAGTAGCTTGTGCTCAACCTCCAAAAGTGGGTTCTCTCTTTTCAAAGGAAAATAATTCTTTGACCCTTTTTCTTTTGTTATATCAGTTGAAGGAACAGTTGTTCCTGTATGGTGGCAATTGCTGCTGCATGATTTATTTTCTGCAATGTAATTATTCTGTGTTTTGAAACAGGGAGTAACTTTGTAGCTTGCTATTCCTGACCCTTCTGTAGATGGAAGTACCTCTTCGCTCCTAAGTCTGGGAACTTTTCCACACTAGCCATGCTCAGTCAATTGTGGCATATCTTATGTTGATTTATATTTATTTTTATCTGCTTAATTAGTCAAAGAAACTTAAGAGGGAAGATTATTACAAAGAAACTAAGTACAGTTCGGAATTAGTTTTCCTGGCTGCTTCTGGTTAACTCAGGAAGGCAGAACACCTGTTAAAGTACATTGAACGCTTCTAGTTTGCTTTCTTCTTGAGGACATTGTATTTGGCTGATATTTTCTGATCTGTTCTGGATCTCCTATTTCTGTCTCTCATCTTCTATTTACAAGATTTTTCATTCAGCTTTGTTAATGCTTACATGTATTTGGTAAGAGTCACGCTGTGAGCTCTGTGTCAAGCAAATGTTCTTATCTAATCTAAGGCTTCTGCTTCCTGACTGTAGGACAGACAAAATCTGCTGGGGCATGTTCTGGTGTGGTGGCCATTCCCTTTTTTCCACTGCACATGCGTATATCTCAGTTGTTGAAGCATAGCACCCACATATCGTTTCTCTAAGTTTGGGAGCATACTATGTATGTGTATGGCTGTGTGTGTAAGGAAAGGTGCGACCCTGCTCTCCAGCTTCTCTTGTATCCACCTACGAGATTCTGTTGTTAAACAGATAGAGCTAGATCCACAAGGTTTGAAACCAAGAGCAAGGAGGCGCTTCTCTTCTTATTAATACATTAGTGTGAAAGAAATACAGTGCAGGTTATCTCAAGTCCAACTACTGCTCTGATCACATCCTTACCTTATTCCTTACATCTCTGCTCTCCCTTAACTGGCTTTCAAAGCATGTGCCATTTCTTTTCCTGTTGTTTCTGTGACTAGTCTGCTGAACCACAATAAAAACAAGTGATGTGCCCACATGGGACAGACTACTGCCTGAGGTGGCTTTGCATGCAGATACCGTTCTGCAGCTTGAGCAATGTAATGCTACGTTTTCCTGTTTGTCTTTTTTCTTTTTCTTTTTTTTTTTTTTGTTTGTTTTTTTGTTTGTTTTTTTTTTCCCCACTGACCACTCCTCCCTATGTAATAATCAGGGTGTATCCATGCACTTCGGCAGAGCCAGGCTAGCTATTGCCAGCAGAGTATCTCAGAGAGATGGTGGTGGAGTCTGTTCAGCATCTTTATTCATGAAAATGGTTTGTCTTGGTTATTGCTCTTAAGCCCTGCATGCTGGAGGCTAAAAGACCATTAAGAAGAGAATTCTCTGCTTTTTCACATCGAGTAGAGGGAGATAAGTGTTTCTTATGTATAAGCTTAAAATCTTTTCAGTAGGCCTGCAAGGTCAATTGGACTAGAATTAATGTTATTGCTGTACTCTTCCAGTGTTTGGTTCAGTGGCAATAAACTGAAATATGGCTTTTGGATTCATGGTGAAGACTTGCTGGGAGGAAAGGGAGTGTTGGTTCATCTTTTTATCTAAAGCATCCATTCTCCAATTACCTTATCAAGTAATGAAATAGGCATGAAAGGAGACAGAGTGCTCACGGATTATTAATAGGATACAGATGCTTCATCTCTGGAGGCATTCAAGGCCAGGCTGGATAGGGCACTGGGCAGGCTGGTTTGGTTGTTGGCAACTCTTCCCGTGACAAGGGGTTAGAATTAGATTACCTTTAAGATCCCTTCTAACTTAAGTAATTCTATGAGTCTATTAGCCAAAGAGGAGAAGCTAAAAACAAACTAAAAACCTCATTATGGTGAAATACTGACAGATCCTGCAAAGCAATGGTGCAAGTTAGGCATCGTCTAAAAATAATTGAGCTGGTATAATGTGGTTGTTAGCTAAGACCAGAAGAGGCAGAACAGTTTCAGAATGGATAGCACAAAAGCAAATGACTTTTATTTTTAAAAAATAAGAAATAATGCACATGAGATGGAATTGTTTAAATAGTTTTACAAGGTAACTTAGAATGCAGTGACTTGTATCACATCTGGAAAAAAATACTTAGGCATTATTGACAATTCAGTTTAAATTTAGTAAAAAAAAATAATGCAAATTTTCCCACATGGAAAAATGTAGAAAATGTTTTTATAAAACTGTAGTGTGCAATTATCTGAAAATATGAACTTTATTTACTGCTGTAGTCTGTACAGAGAATTTAGAGTTGAAAATGACACAGATAAGGATAAAGGATATAGAAAGAAATTCTTGGTATCCCTTTTTGGAGGTGAGAAAAACATGTAAACATACATGAAAAAGATAAGGAAGTGAAGCCTAGTAAGAGCCACCAAATCTGAAGTTCCAATAGGAGATTTTTGGTGTGGGTATCTTTGAGTATTGGACTGTCAATCAGGTATAGGTATACTTGGGGCAGGTGTATTCTTCCTATTTATTTATTTATTTTTCCTAAAACCTATTTTTTAGAATCTGCTCTCTGCCACTTAAGTCTAGCATCATATCTCTGAGTGGTTCTCTGCCACGGCTCAGTATGATTCTGCTGCTGGAATTCAGACTTTTTCAGAGAATTTTAGGTGATTATTGAATAATCTGTTGTATTATTTCTTAAAATGAGTGTAACAAATGACCAACTTATGCATTTCACAAGGTCATTTAGGAGATCTCCAAGTAGCAATAAGTATTGTTATTGCCAAGAAATCCTGTGAAATATTGGAAAAAGTTTGAAGCCATATACCGAGACATATCAGTCCAATAGTGAGAGTAATCTGCTTTTCTCTTTTTCGCAGCTGCAATGTATTTCTTGAAACAGCTGGAACTATCTCAGTTAAGAGACTTGTTTCTTTTAAGGTGAATTAGGTTCTTCCTGTAGTGAACTGTTTGTGCTTTTTTTTTTTTCCCAACCCACTCCAGTTCTTTGAAGTACCTTGAAATCATTCAGTCCTCTAATGCCATCTCTGTCAGCATCTGATTTTTATGTGATTTTTTTTTTTTTAATGAATTATTCTTCTGTCTCCTTTCTATACGCTGGAAAGGCTGTAGCAGTTGTGCTTACTGTGAGTTACTTTGGTGGTAAGTGCATATCAATCTTGAGGAGGAATGCAGGCAGGGATTCTCCTCCAATATGTGGATGTGGCTCAGCGGTGTCAGAAGTGGGATCCTGCTGTTGAGGACAGCTGCCAGCTGCAGCTGGTGCAGATGCGATCATTGGGATGTGGCTAGCAGCTGGCAGTGAAGGCACATAGCACATCTTAAGGAGTTAAGTGTTGCCTTTAGAATGAAGCTTGTAATTTTACAGGAAAATATGTATTTATATCAATCCGCAGTGTTTTAGTGGCTAATTGCATTTTTTAGGATTATTAAGGGGAGGTACTATAGAAATAATATTCCCTTGTTCTTACAATTAGTGTTGTATTGTTTAATAAGACCTCAGCATCAGACCTTTACCTCAGGATGAAGGAAAAAAAAAATTTTGTTTTTCACAAATAATTTTATTTGCATCTGATATCTTAAAAATGCATTACTTGTATCTCTGGATCCATATAAACAATGTTTGTAATGCATAATGCTAAGAGAGGAGAGTGTTTGAAGTGTGGATTTGTTTTAATTGTTTTATTTTTGTTCTCAGTGGTCAGATAGTGCTTGACATCCTGTGTAAGTGAGCTTTATAAGGGAGAAGTCAAGCAATACAGTGCAGGATGAAGCACACTGTGTTCAACATCCATTTTGATATATTGCTTAATATTAAACAATATGCTTAAAGATTGCACTTATCTAAAGGGTTTTTAGTTTAAGAAATGTATTTGGCGGGCAGTCAGTCCTAATGCCTCAGCTGGATACAATTCACTGGTGTTGCACATCATTCATAGTAATATCTCTTCTGTACTATAAGAAATGAAAAATGTTTGATTGCTGTTACAGTGGAGGGCTGTTGGAAAGCTGTAGCAGAAATAGCTGCCTGGAATTTCCGCTGGAGATAACTGTTCCAGAAGTGTCTGCGGATGTGCAGTGCTGTGTTATTTTTGGCATGGATTGTATGTATTTTTTTATTTC